TAACGGAACGGGGTAGTGTGCGCTCGCGTCGGCGCCACAATCCCCCGTCACGTCCCGTCCGCCGACCCTCGGTGCACCCCCTTTGCCGGCCCTTGTTGCACCCCCTCCGTAGTCTGAGAAGGATGCAAGGCAGCAGAAGGCAAGGTAGCAGAAAGCGAGGAGGGAGATGCAACGCCCGATCTGCTTTTTGAAACGTTCTGATACAACACTGGCAACATACGTCTGAAGACAAATGAAACATTTAAAACATACGTCTGAAACACTTGCAAAAACACCTGAAAAAACACTTAAAAACAATTGCAACACATACGCAACATCTAAATAAAATGCTTGCAATATATGTCTAAAACATATGCAAAATCCAGATAAACACACTTGCAACATACGTTTGAAAAAACAAGTGAAACATTGAGAACAGATATTTGCAACATACGTGTACAACCATTGCAACATATGCAACATCCGGATCTACTTTAGAAACATCCATACAAAACCCTTGCAACATGCCTCTAAGACACATTAAACACTTGAAACATATGTTTGCAACATGCACTTTTAGCGCAAGCACAATGTCACCTTGCTGCTTGGACGAATGGAGCTCGACACCAGCGCGGAGCTCGATGCCATGGAGTGCGCAAAAGTCACCGGTGCAAAGCTCATCGGTGGCATGGACCTCGGCAGTGGCCACGATAGGTGGATGGAGCACAACGATGACGGGAGGCGCGAGTACGGGCGGGGGGCGTGGCTCAGGCAGGGGTGGCATCGGTGAGCGGCCAGAGCGATGGCGGCGCCAGCGAGCAGGCGGGTACAATCTATCCTGTGACCGTGAGCAAGGGCGCATAGCACAGAGTGGTGCGAGCGACGCGGGCGAGTGGATGAGGATGAGCCACGAGGTCCGGACGGGAAGTCAAGCGAGCGATGCGGGCGAGTGGACGAGGATGAGCCACGTTCGGACGGGAAGTCATGGGACAGACGCCTGAGCCATATCATTATCGATCCCATTCCCTTATGCTTATCTATCCGTCCCTCCGGAGCCAACACCCCACTCCTTCGTGCTTATTCGCCTGGCCCCAAACAACATGGCTGCTCACCCGTTCGCCCCTTCTCCAGCGTGCGCTCGTCGGGCTGCCGCGCCGTTTCCTTTCCCCGTCGCTGGCTGCGCCACGCACCCTCGCTCCCTGCATTGCTCACCTGCATGGCAACCACCTGCATCGCTCGGCGTGGCTGCTCATCCGTCCATCCCCTTTCCCAGCACGTGCTCGTCGGGCTGCCACGCCGTGCCCTTCCCCCATCGTCGACCGTGCCGCGCGCCCTCGCTCCCTCGTCGTTCATCTGTCGCCCATCGCCGTTGGCCACGTCGCTGACCCCGCCATGGTGAAAGGTCCTAATATGGCTAGAGGGGGGGTGAATAGCCTATTTAAAATCTCTACAAAGCACTAGAGCAATTGATTAGGACAACAAAAGGCGTAATACAATTTTGCTCTAGCTCTACAAGTGTTCCAAGCCACCTATTTCAACAATTCTAGTTGCTATGATCACTATCACACACAACAAGTTGGGTCACTACTCACTAAGCTAGTGTGCTCTCAAAGACTAACTAAAGAGCCACAACCAAACTAACAAGCTCTCAAAGACTAACTACACTAAAAAGCTTGACAACTAGTTTACGGGAATATAAATGAATGAGTAGGGTGATTATACCGCTGCATAGATGAGTGAACCAATCACAATATGAATACCAATTTAATCACAGGGAGAATACCAAAAGGCAAGAGACAACCAATTTTTTTTGAGGTTCACGTGCTTGCCGGCACGCTAGTCCCCGTTGTGTCGAACAACACTTGGTGGTTCGGCGGCTAAGAGGTGTTGCACGAACCTCATCCACACAATTGGACACCGCAAGAACCTACCCACAAATGAGGTAACTCAATGACATGAGCAATCCACTAGAGTTACCTTTTGGCTCTCCGCTCGGGAAGATACAAGACCCCTCACAATCACCGGAGTCGGCCATGAACAATCACCAACACGTGCCGAAGCTCCTCCACTGCTCCAAGCTATCTAGGTGGCGGCAACCACCAAGAGTAACAAGAAATCCACAGCCACAACGATCCCCAAGTGCCACTAGATGCAATCACTTAAGCAAATGCACTTGGAATCACTCTCAATCTCACTATGATGATGAATCAATGATTGAGATGAGTGGGAGGTATTTGCTTAGACTCACAAGGATGTCAAGTATGACAAAATGCCAAGCTAGTGAGCCCTAAGCTGGCCAAACACTATTTATAGAGCCTCTCAAATGAATAGAGCCGTTAGGGTCAAGAGAGACGGCTCTACATACTGACCGGACGCGTCGGTCGAATTGACCGGATGCGCCCGAGCCAGCGTCCAGTCGTGGATCTCGTTCCATGTGTCAGCGCTTTGAATGTCACCCGTTCATCTCTAACGGCTAGCTCCCAATCGCGCGAACACTTAAGTTAGGACCGGACGCAATGAAGGAACCGTCCTGACGCCGCGTTCTCCGAGTCCGGTCAACTCCAGAGACGATCCAGAGCGGGAAAAACGTGACCGGACGCGTCTGATCACAGAGGACCCGACGCGCCCGTGCATCCGATCAGTGTACTGCTCCAACGCGCGCTCACCCAAGGTTGACGTCAGCGTACGTCAGCACGCACCTGACGCGAGGCCTGCGAGTCCGATCACGCCACCGCGGCGCTGCTCAAAAGGTGACCAGACGCGTCGTTGCAGCTAGGGCCAGCATCCGGTCGCAACACCTCGCCTTCGGCCAGCTACGTTGCGCTACTTAAAAATGACCGGACTCAGGGTCCAGCGTTTGGTCAGATCGACACCCGCGTCCAGTCAATAGCCTTCGCCTCCTTTTCTTTTTCTAAGTCCACAACCACTTTACCCTAGCTTCCAACTTGCTAACCAGAAAGTGTAGAACTTGTGTACACGTGTGTTAGCATTTTTCAAAGCATTATACAAGGGTCAAGGTTAGGACACTAGGTTTCTAAATGCATATGTAAGAATCATATCACCTAGTGGCACTCGATAACTGCTTAGTCAAAGATTTCTCCTCTTTATAGTACGGCTATCGATCCTAAGTCACTCACACCCTCTATAGTGTCTTGAGTGCAAAATAAAAACCTATCATATACATTTGTCTTGATCTTCTTAGTTTTGTTTTTATCTTTCTTTTTTCATGTTGAGCTTGATCATCATCAACACATGTCCATCTTCAACTCCATGGACCTCATCTAGTTCAATCACTTGGAATGGACCACCTTATCTAATTCACTCGCTTAGATCAAAGGTTAGTCCTAGGTTTCATCAATTATCTAAAACCAAATTAGGGCTTTTACATGGCCGCTGCGGCATACGTGCCGTGGCGCCTTAGGTCTTTCACGGCCGAGCCAAGGGCAACCACGAGCGTGCCCAGTGCTGGTGGTGCTCGCGCGCCACGGCTCGCCGCCGGCTCCCACCCCGACGGCCAAAATCGACTCGCCCGGCCTTTCCTCCCCTACGTTGCATACGTATGTTTTAAGTGTTTCAGACGTTTCAGATGTATGTTGCAATCATTTCATCTTGATGTTATAAAAGTAGATCGGTTGATGCTGCATATGTTGCAAGTGTTTCAGTGGCATGTTGCAAGCGTTTGTTCAAAATGTTCATCTGTTTCTAGACGTCTGTTGCAATCTTTTTTATATAGATGTTGCTATGTTTCACACATATTGCAACAGTATCTTCCAAATGTTTTAGATGTTTCAGTTTTATGTTGCAGCAAGTGGTTTCATGTTGCAAGGTTCAAATCTGGATGTTTCGTGTGCACACACATGTTGCAAGTGCATGCTCCAAATGTTTTATTATTTTCAGACGTATGTTGCATTCAAATGTTTTTTATGTTGCAAGTGTTTTATGTCAGACGGCTGGGCTTAGCGGCGGATGGGCGCACGGCATGCCGGGGCGAATGGGGCATTGGGGCTGGCTGACAGTGGTGCTGCGTTCGGGGCACGCTGGGACGTGCTCGTTCTCAGCTGCTCATCTCGACTCGTGAGTGCTGCTCACGCGGAGAGACGAGGGGTCAAGGACGACCGGCGAGCGCAAATTCAGGGCGAAGTGCGCGTGTGGGACGGGCCGAAGGCGGACAGGGGCGGGCTGCGTGGGCGTCTGGATGCGTGCAGCCGTCCGGACATCCGGCTGCAAGCCACACACTTCCCATCTAGCAGTGGCTCGCCAGTTGCCGAATCGTGGATTTCAGAAACCCATTCTACTAAAAACGTTGTGGACCTGTTTTTACTAATTCTGGTTTTGCGGAAATCCAGTTTATCCAGTACCAGAGTTTGTTAGGAGATCCAAACATGTTTTTAGCCGTAGTTGCGTTAAAATAGGTATTACGGAGACCGGTTTTGATAAAGCTGCAGATTCAAACAAGCCCGAAGAGTCGTAGGTTATTTTACAATACCGAATGTTGAGGAAAGTTAGCAGCCAAGGATTGACTAACATTTAATTTAGCGTGGTCGCAGCTACTTGTCTCACGCGTCTTATCCGCACGCGTATATATAAACAAACTTATGCAGCAGTCAGCAAGAGGTACGTAGGCTAGATGGTCTCCTGTGTCCAGGGTCTCTACTATATTTTCATTCTCATATGTGAGCATTTGTGTTCCTAATTGTGGATGCTAAGCTTCAAAGAATAAATAGGTCAAATAGAACTCTTCTTGTTAACTAACTAATTAACTCCACTCTCTGGCTAGCAATTAGCAAAGGCAAAATCTAACAGAGACCAGAACCGCCAGTTCTTGGTAGTTTCGCGGCAGTTGCCCTTGAGGAATGAGGAGTGATGTACAAGAAATCTACGTCTCTAACTCACTATTATTTATATGGAAGCACTTGAAACATCTTCAGAGTTCAGAGCTCCCACGTCCCAAGCGCCACAGAGAATCAGACTCAGCATCAGCAACAAGCCATTCTTGCGTTCCAAGCGCAAGCGGCCCTATTATGAGGCTTCTTCCCGCGGCGGTGGCGCCAGCGCCATTCCTGCTCCTCGTCCTCTTCCTCCTTTCGTGCCCTCGCAGCGCCTACTCCGGCGAGCAGAAGCGCTTCGCCTCCATAATCAGCTTCGGCGACTCGTACGCCGACACCGGCAACCTGGTCAGGTGGGACAACCCCGTCATTGAGAGCGTCAACCTGATCAGGAACTCACCCTACGGCGAGACGTTCTTCGGCCACCCGTCCGGTCGCGCCACTAACGGCCGCATCGTCCTAGACTTCATTGGTACGTACATCTACACTCGTAACACTCTGTTGGTTTTATTTTACTTTTACCCCAGTAATTGTATATGACCTGACGGCGTTAGATCTTTTCCCTGTTACGCATGCGTGCGTGCAGCCGATGCTTTGGATCTACCTTTCGTGCCGCCGGTGCTGTCCAGAGTGGAGAACTTCTCGACGGGCGTAAACTTCGCGGTGGCCGGAGCGACGGCTCTGAACCTGACGTACCTGCAGGGGCAGAACATCACCGTCGACCTCCCGATCAACAGCTCCCTGAACGACCAGCTCCGGTGGTTCGAGCAACTGAAGCCATCGCTTTGCCGCAGCAGCAGCAGCACACATGGAGGATCGTCCAGCGGCTGCTTCGGCGAGTCTCTCTTCACCTTGGGGCAGTTTGGAGCAAACGACTACCGCAACATCCTGATGAACTCGAACATGACCTTGGAGCAAGCGAGATCGTATGTTCCGAAAATTGTCAACACCATTGCAACAGGTGTCGAGGTACTTACTACCTTACTAGCTAGTAGAAGTAGAACAACATGCTCCGATGGATGAACTTGCATCGCGCGCTGCATGCTAGCAGCGCACCGGCCATTTGACGAACTGGATGCATAATATAATACGCAGAGGCTGATCCATCACGGCGCCAAGTACATCGTCGTGGCGGATAAAATCCCCTTCGGCTGTATGCCCGCCACACTGGCGATGGCCTCGAGCACCAACAACAACGGAGGCTACGACCAGTACGGCTGCCTCAAGAGCTTCAATACCGGCCGGGCTGTCGCAGTACCACAACGCCCTTCTCCGGCGACGCGTCGACTTGCTCCGGAGAAGGTACCCGCACACAAGGCTCGTCTTCGCCGAGCAATACCGGGCCGTGATATCATTTCTGCAGGACCCTGACCATTTTGGTGAGCTTCTACATACTCTAGCTCTTCTTCTTCTTCTTCTTCTTCTTCTTCTTCTTCTTCTTCTTCTTCTTCTTCTTCTTCTCCGCTGGGGGACAGACAGTGATGAAGTTGAAAGCAGGTTTCTGAAACACGATGTATATATCGATTGCAATTGCAGGGTTCAACCGCAGCACAACCCTGGTGAGCTGTTGCGGAGGCGGCGGCCCGTACAACCAAAACTGGAAAGCACCGTGCGGTACGCCAGGAGCCACCGCGTGCGCAGCGCCATCCGAGGCCATCATCTGGGACGGCTTCCACCTAACCGAGTCCGCGTACAGCAGCATCGCCCATGGATGGCTGCACGGGCCCTACGCCGATCCGCCGATTCTACAACTCCTCAACTGAGCCACACGTGGTCGATCCAGAGGTTCTAGTGGGGTTTCTGGAATGTGAAACGATCAGTTTGTGTTGTGTGTGTGATCATTTGTGAACAACGGCAATAATGTGAGAATGGTGTAATTTAGGTCTACATTCCTTTAGCTAAAGGATAATAATTTTTAGTTTACACACCAAAGTGTGTGTATACCCATCTTGTGGAATGGAGAAAATATATATAGTATAGTATGCAGACCTTCACCATCTCGTTTTAGGAAGACCCAAACCATTTTGATAAGCTCAAATGCTTGTCATACAAATCCATCAACCCATATGCTCCAACTTAGGATAGTAATTTTAAGAGAGATAAGTGATAAAAAAATTAAGAATAAATTTAAATCAAATGACTAATAATCGGAGTTGCTTACGTTTCAATGCATTATCTTCATGTTCGAAAATTGTACTCATGGATACTTTCTTAACTTTCTCTAGTTAATTGTTAACATACTTCACTTGCCAATTACTCAATATACATTTAAACCCCTATTGGTAGCTTTCCCCTTTGCATCACATAGCCACGTGTGTGCTTAACATGTGTCTAATTAAAACCTTTGTTACTTTGAGCTTTGTGTTTGACGTGGAACTTGATATGATCATCGCTTCCATACATGTGTACATGGTGTAAACGGATATATGTATACATTGAATTTTCTAAATATTAACAATAGCACATGTGGCAAATTTATAATAAGTATCTTGAGATTTTTAAAAAAGATATATGTAGGTAGCCTACAACACGCTAATCAAAATATTGAATTTACTATCAAGGAATTATATGTGTAGAAGTATCGATTACATCAATTATGTAAAATTAAACTACCAGTATTGATATATTAAAATGTTTCACTCAAAATTACAAAGAATTCATTGTTATAGAATTTAAATGTAATTTATATTGATTATCAGTTTCATTGGTATTGGTTTGTTAAACAACATTTCTTCACAATCGATAAACTATATATAAGGACATAGTACCATTGGTGTACGGCGACACAAAGCATTTATGTTTACTTTGAATTTAACAGTGTAGACTGAGTATTTTAGAAAACAAATATAGTGTACTCTGTGGTTATTTAATTATTTTTATAACAGCGCGCTTATATCGATAGTTTATACAATGATTTGAGGGAAACTTTAGTTTATGTTAACAGCGGATGTGGGCGGTTTAGATACAAATTCAATTGATACTTTAAATTAACTTTCACAGGCAAAGTTTGGTGGCTTGCATGTAGATTTAGTTATTTATTTTTTTCTATAATAATGGCAAAAGTGGATAGTTTCTTTTAGAAAATAAAATAGATCCATTTTATTATCTATGATGAATAGAGGCAATCGAATTAACTGCCACGTGTTTCTGATTATTTGATAATTTCTAGGATTTATATTCTTTTTCTAACGCACCTTTTGACGGTTAATGTAAAGGCTCTATTGAGGGCCTGATCTAGTTAATAATATTAAGATAAGTATTATCTTTGCATTGTACATCATGGATCTATGTTTTTGCCTTTCAACTTCGAACCCTACTAGTTGTTGCAAATTTTTTAGCTCGGCCGGCCACTGGTCTTCACGTGTAACTAATATACATGGAAAGAATAATGGGACAATGGTACAATAAGTTTTGGCTGATATCAATGTCAACGGATCTTAGTTGTTGTGGAATGGAACAACATACGTATTAGTTAAAGGAGTACTATACAGAGCAAATGTATTTACGTGTGGTGCATGATCATCGTTCACGTCACATGACGGCGACCTGCAAGTGTAACCTAGATATTATAATTTTTGAAATAATACAACACTTCTCCTATATTTCAGGTGCCTGAATTTTAAGATGATTTCAGGCAACAATCTTATACCACCAATTAGTACAAATAAATTGTTATTTTTATGATTTGTTGTTTATCTTTGTGCCATAACATATTAAATTTTAGTCCGCTTATAGAAATAACTGTAAATTGTTAATTGTCTTTGTGCCAACATAAATCAGATTTTGTCGGGTTTTTTTTTTGTCTAACGGGTTTTTTATTCTCGGTACCAAAAAGTGGATAGTTTTTTTAGAAAAATAAAGTAGATCCAATTTATTTTCTATAATGAATAGAGTCAACTTAATTAACGACCAGGCATTTCTGATTATTTGATAACTTCTAGGATCTATGTTCTTTTTCTGACGCATCTTGAGGGTTAATGTAAAGGCTCTATTGAGAGCCTGATCTAGTTACTAATATTAAGATAAGTATTATGCTTCGCATTATACATACCTTTATCGTCATTGTGTTTTAGTTGAAACCTAAGCTTAAGTTATATCAGCTCTTACACTGCGTACCTTTTGTGACATCATCATGAATCTATATTTTTGTCTTTCAACTTTTAATCATATTAGTTTTTGTAAGGTTTTATCTCTGCCAGTAGTCTTCATATGTACCTAATGTAACTATAAAGCATTTACGGAAACAACAATGGGACAGCAGTACAATAAGTTTGGCATGTATCAAAGTCAATGGATCTTAGTAACTGCTCCCTCTGTTCACAAAAAGATGCAATTCTCACTTTTATAAAAAGTTAAACGATTTGAAGTTTGGCCAATTTAAAGTTATATAAAAAAAGTAGTAATATTTATTATTTAGAAGAAGTATTACTAAATTAATTATAAAATATATTTGCATAGTAAATCTAGTAGGATACATAAATATTAATACTATTTACTATAAACTTAAAACTTAGTTGGAGTTAAGCTAATTTAACTTGTTGTACAAATCACATAATTACATCTTTTGTGGCCGGAGCGAGTACCGTGGAATAATGGAACCACATTATGAGTACTATCAGCGCAAGTGTACGTGTGGTGTGCCCATCGTTCGTCATGTACATATACATGACGGCGACCAGCAAGTGTAACCAAGAATTGAAATAATACTATAATAGTCACCCATCCCGGCCTAATTCCCTATATATAAGACGCACTACTACTACTACTCGTAACGTGCAGCATGATACGCACACGAGTTCCGAACACCTTCGCGGCAGCCATGAGGATCTCCATCGCCGCCGTGCTCCTCGTCGTGCTGATCATCCCGTGTCTGCTCCACGGCACCGCGGACGCCGTCCGCCGGCCCACTTCCATGCCCTTGTTCCCGGCCATATTCAGCTTCGGCGACTCGTACGCCGACACCGGCAACTTCGTCAGGCTCATCTCGTCCATCCCGTTCGGCAGCCCACCCTACGGCGAGACGTTCTTCGGCCACCCCACCGGCCGCGTCTGCAACGGTTGCCTCGTCGTCGACTTCGTCGGTAACGTCGTTCGTTCAGTTCGTACGCCGCCGGCAAACCTGCATGCACTGAATCATGTACGTACTGATTCTCATGTATGTGCAGCGGCTGCTGTGGGCTTGCCTTTCGTGCCGCCGTACCTAGCCGAGGGCCAGAACTTCAGCACGGGCGCGAACTTTGCGGTGATCGGAGCGACGGCCCTGGACCTGGCCTACTACCAGCGGCAGAACATCACCACGGTGCCTCCGTTCAACACCTCCCTCAGCGTCCAGCTCGGGTGGTTCGAGCATCTCAGGCCGTCGCTGGGCAACGCCACCGCGCGCGGGTGCGACGACGACGATGACGACGACAACTACCTGGGCAAGTCTCTCTTCTTCATGGGGGAGTTCGGCGGGAACGACTACCAGTCTGTTCGCTTGCTCGTAAACGATCGTAAATTTTCAGCCGGGAACAATGTTTTTCTCTCACACCAAACCAGCCAGCAGTAAATAATCCACGATACGATACGGCCTCCCGAACAGGCTGTACGTCTTCCTCCTGGCTGCCAACAAGACCGTGGCCCGGACCAAGACCTACGTTCCAGCCATTGTCAAGGCCATTGGCGACGGCGTCGAGGTATATATCTCCTGGTCCCGGACGACACTACACAGCATGTGTCTTGACCAATGCAAACGTACACATGCATCCAGAGGCTGATCCAGCACGGCACCAGGCGCATCGTGGTGCCGTGGAACGTGCCCATGGGCTGCTTACCAGTCATCCTGACGCTGTACGCGAGCCCGGACCCGTCGGACTACGACCACTACGGGTGCCTGCACGAGTTCAACCGCCTGGCGCGCTACCACAACGAGCAGCTCCGGAGCCAGGTCCAGGCGCTCCGGAGCAGGCACCCGCGCGTCGCCATCGCCTTCGCCGACTACTACCAGCCCGTCCTCGAGTTCCTCACGCCCCCGGCCCTCTTCGGTGAGATCACCATTCAACATAACATTCAAGGTTGGTGAAACCAAACTGAGAGATGCTGGTGCAGGATTCAACGGGAGCACGACGCTGGTGGTGTGCTGCGGCGCAGGCGCCGGCGGCGGCAGGTACAACTACAGCGTCGCGGCGGGGTGCGGCCGCCCCGGCGCGGCGACGGCGTGCGCCGACCCGTCTGCGGCGGTGAACTGGGACGGCATCCACGTCACGGAGGCGGCGTACGGGGACATCGCCGAGGCGTGGCTGCGGGGGCCGTCGGCGGAGCCGCCCATATTCGAGCGTTGAACTTGTAAGGAATAACCGAGGTTACCAAGGAATAACCGTCGGCCCAAGTCAGGCCGGTTATGTCCTACTTCATTAATCTTTAGATTACCGAAGACTGATTAACCTTGACATTCTACTTCTGCTTAACGAAAACACGTGTCACAAAAACACGTTCATGAAAAAAAAAACTTGCAAGGAATAACGGGCCATGCATGCCTCGATTGCCCACCGGACTGGCGTCGGCTGTTACGTGGTGTGTGTGCATTGTGTGCACCCAAGTGCAAAGTTTTCTTTTTCCTCTTTTTTTTTCTAATGCTCTGTTAAGGCCGTTTGGACGCCCTGTTCCCATCGGACGCATCTAACCTCATCCACACATACAAAAGCTCCGCTCGCCTCGCTCCTTGCCCGTGCGCCTTCGCATTCGCCGCTCGCTCCCGCCCGCACGCCTCGCTCCGCCAGCTCGCCTTGCTCTCGCTCGTGCAGATTCACCCTATGCCGCTGTAGTGGATCGATGGCGCAGAAGTGCAGGGCCACGCCACCGTCTTCGCCACCAAACTCTTTGGCCACGTTGGCCCTGTCCTTCCTCACCGTTGTCTTGGAGCCGAAGCGCCTAGGTAGGCCTGACGGCTGACTCCACCGCGGCGGGGCGACTCCATCCGACTGTCGCGGCCGCCTCCAGCTAGTTAGGTGCCGTCATCTGTTGTCGCGGCCGCCTCCACCGCGTCGGGTGCCGCCATCTGTTGCCGCGGCTGCCTCCACCGCGTCTGTACTGTTCGCTGCGTCGTTCACGCCATGTTGCGCTGAAAAAACGCGTGTTGCAAACGTATATTTGAGATGTTTCAGAGGTATGTTGCATGTGTTTCATACGGATGTTGCAAAAGTAGACCGAGATGTTGCATGTGTTGCAATAGTTTAAACAGTATATTGCAAGCGTCTGTTCCTAATGTTTTATCTATTTTTCAGACGTATGTTGCAAGTCTGTTTATCTGGATGTTGCATATATTTTACTCATATGTTGCAAGTGCTTTATCTGAAGGTTGCGTATGTTTGCAAGATTTTTAAATGTTTTTTATGTATTTTTGCAAGTGTTTCATCTGTCTTCTTTTGTATGTTGCACGTATTGCGTCTAGATGTTTTAAAAGTAGATCGGGTGTTGCATATCTCTCCTCGCTTTCTGTTGCTTCGCTTTGGTGTCTTCTCCTCGTCTTCTGCTGCCTTGCATCCTTCTCAGACTGTGGAGGGGGTGCAGTGACGGCCGGTGGAGGGGGCACACCGGGGGATGGCGGCGCAGACGCGAGGGCACGCTCTCCCCTTCTGTTACGCGGGTAGGTAGCACTTCGGTCCACTCTTTCTATTGGGGATGCTGAGATGGAATGCTCCCGTTGGTGAGCCTCGGACCGAGAGCTGGGTCATGTATCGGTTGGCTAGGACTAGAGTTACCTCCAGACGCGCTGCGGGCTCCGGCTGGTGCCTCCGCTTTTTTTTCCACCTAAAAACAGTGGGAAATAATACTCCGAAGTACGGACACTGCGGACCGTGGCCTTTTTTCCAACTTGTGCTTGCTGATAATAAAACACGGCTTTTCTTTTTCAGTTTTCACGGCTCTGACTTCATTAATTGGTATCTTAGCAGCCGGAGCGAGTGGCAGGTCGCGTGATCGTTGCTAAGTGCATGGTTCCAATTTTGCGGCGGCTCAGGCAAATTGGGTTAGATTTGAGGAGCCACTTAATCCTCGGTGGGTGGTACATAATGAGAAAACTAGTAGTTTCTATAACATAGGATACCGTACCAAAAAAAAAATATTGTTTTTCAACTCATGATTTCTATGACTAATAATTTTTTTTTCTCTTCCAACTCTATCTTCTTCCTCCAATGAAAGTGCGGCACGAGCCCTCTACAAACTGATGCTTTCTCCCCAACGGCGATTTCATGGTTTCTTGGCGCATTGGGTCAAGAGAAGACCTGATTTCTTCATGAGGAAACCATTTCTATGATTTTTGCTTTCTTTCTTCATTAACTACGTTTCCTCAAATTTTCATATCTCATATTAATACTAATTATTAGCTTATGAGAAATAAAATGATGATGCATCAACCTATTACATTTCTTAAACTAAATAAAAAAAGAATGAGTATATGCTGAACCGTCTTATTTCTCAAACCAAACACATCCTTAATCTCACATAAAAAATTGACGGAAACACTATATATAAATTGGCATAACTCTCATAGTCCACACAAAAAATTCAGTGTAACACTCATCTATATTTTGATTGAGTTAGATCCGATTCTTTAATATGTTGTAGGCTCAGGTAAATCTAGACCTAAGGAGGCACCGGCTCGTGAGTATAGCTGGCCTAGGAACGGAGCCAAGACTTGTAACACCCTAAAAATGACATTCTTTTTAAAATAGTAAATTTGATTTAAATATGTAATTATATGTGCATTTCAAATTTAGGAAATAATATTTCTTTTATGAAATTAAAAGAAAATACAAGAATAGAAACATGTTGATGCATTCATGCTATTGCATATTTATTTACGTGATTGGTGGTTTTGTTCAAATGCTAGAAGATTTTAAAACCTTTTGAAAATGAGTTTGAAAATTTTATTTATAAAAAGAAAAAGGAAATTTCCTTCCATCTCCTCCCCTTCCTCACATTGCCCAAGACCAGCCCCCCACCCATTTCGCCTCCCCTTTTTCCCCCTTTACTTGCCCAGCTTTCGCACTTGAACAAGCCACCTGGCCACCAAGCCAAATTTAAAATTGCACCAGCACTGTGCAAATCACTGCCTTAGCATCACTTGCCAGCTTTGCCTGCTACCGGCGACAGCCACGACCCGCCCGTCACAACACGGCTCCCCCACCGCCTGCGCCCTCGAAACCGCCCGACCATGTCATGAGAGGCTACAACCGCCGCTCTGGCGGCGTGGAGCGCCCTCCCTCGCGTGCCTCGGCTTCTTTTTTAAGCGGGAGAGCCCCCCCTGCTGTCTCTCTCTCTCGCTCCCGCTCCATTTTCGCCTCGTCCCTGCCACAAGCTGTCGCATGAGGAGCTCCGAGGATCTGCCGTCCGTCCGTCTGCGTCGCCGTCTCTTCCCGAGCCACCGTCGACTCCATCCTTCCTCATTGTGAGCTTCGCCTTGTTCCCTCTCTCTCCCAAGTGCAACTTATTTCCCATTTCGTTGGTCAGACCTTGTTTTGGGTGCGTCGCATGAGCTCTCGGCCGCCGGCCATGGCGCCGCCCGCCCGGCCTTCCCTCTCGGCCGTCTTCTCGACCGAAGCGACCCCCTTCTCCCCCGAGCTCTCGGGTGCCCTCGATTCCCGTTTGGTGGACCCTAGCCCCCTAACCGAGCTGGCGGCGTCTTTTTTGTCCGCCGGCAATGGCTGAGCCTCTGGTGTTATTCTTTATTCCGCCGGCGAACCCCTCAGATCCGTTGTCGACCGTCCATTTCTAATCCGACGGCCATCATCGTTCGATACCCTTCGTGGGTCAAATTGCTAAAGAGCCCTCCTGTTTTCGCGTAAATGAACCCGCCGTCCTTAGCGTATTTCCTCGAGTACGCATTCTCGTTTTGAAAGCGTATAGTTCACTGGTTTAGTCTAAAGTACGCTTTCAGTATTTACAGAAATGCCATTCGAACTGTTTCGCTTATAGAATTGTCGTTTTAACTCCGAATTGATCCATTCAAATCGCGTTAGCTTCGTAATTTCATAAGCTACATGTTGGAGCTACTGTTAGTCAAGTTTGGAACTTTTTAATTTCATGTTTAGATTTAATTAAATATAGGGCTATAGGAAAACCCGTTTTAATCATAACTTTCGCATTTTAGCTCCGTTTTTCGTGAACTTCGCGTTGACGTGATCGTAGCGAGACGTAGAATATGTTTACAAATAATTTATCTTGTTTTCAATACTGTTGGTGTACTGTTCTAATGATAGGAATGTTGCTTTGCATGAATGCTTTTGGAATGTTGTATGTTGCCGTGTTGGTCGCGTTCAGACGGTGAGGAAAACGTTGGAGACCAAGAACTCTTCGACGACCAGCAGGACCAGCACGAGTTTGTGAACCAAGGCAAGTATAGCATGGGCCTTCCTTGATGTCCTATTCACCTTAATCAATTACTCATTTGCATGTGTCTAATTTTGATACCCGTAAGGATATCCTAGTGATTGTTTATCCTGTTCCTTGTCTCCTATGGGTTAAATGCATATGGGTAGATTGCTAGTGCTCTAACTGAACTTGACATACATGTTGATGAATGATACTATGGAACAAAGTGAGTAACATGATTTATAACAACTGTTCCATAGGGCGAAAGTGCAAATGACCTTTGTTCGTGTTGCTCTCGGCCCTCCATAAAGACTTATCTGTCGGCAAAAAGTGGGGACCGACAAAGGCAAACTGTGAGGGTCATATGGCTCGACTTTAGCTCAGATAATAGGACCTTTTCTAGCTTGTTAGAGGTTACCTTTATGGCGCAAATGGGGCTTGCCACGTTGGGTATAGACCCGCCTCTGTTCCTATGTGTATAGCCGCAATGGATATGTGCCAGGAAAGGGGTTCCTACATCTCCATCACGCCAAGGAAACCTAGCGGCCCTAACTTGTTAGAGAAACCTATGAAATGGCTTCATAGTGTACCGCCCGCTCACCTTGGCAAAGTGACATGGGAGTAATTAACCCGGGCATATGGGAATCACGACTCATGGTGAATGTGCACCACCTCTGCAGAGGGTAACAAAGCTGTTATAACAGCCGTGCTCACGGGTCACGAAAGCGGCCGGAAAACTCACAGAATAGATGGCTACTTATAATGTTGTTTATACGAGATGATTATGATGATGTCACATGACTCAATTGGATCGGATATATGATCACGTGGGTTTAAAGGGAGCTTAAGCATAACTTAATAATAGATGAGGATAAAATCTTGAATCTACTAAAAGTGCTAACTGCGAAGAAACCAAATGTCATCCTTTTGAGCCTCATGAACCCCATGTTATCTTGTTGAGTACGGGACGTATTTTACGCTTGTTTAATTTTCAATATTTGGATAAAATCCCGGATGGGTAACAGATGACAACGGATATAAGGAGTTTCGAGGATTATTAGGCTTGTGGTCAACCATTCGACCGTCCACGTGATGGAGTTCCACGAGAGAGTTATCTTTTTATCTTCATTTGTGTTATGTAAGTCAATGTGATGCTATTATTCGTTATGTAAGATACACCGTGATGATACTTTTTATAATTTGTCAACTTATGTGTGTGACTGATCCCTGGGCACACATGAGTTTAGTGCATTCAATTTTATCCTTAAAATTGGGTGTGACAAGACTCCCCCAAAGGGGGCGCTTTATGCCTATATTATATTTAGATTGGTGCTAAAATATTTTTATTCGGCTTTCCAATCATCTTAGCTTTGCTAAAAATATATCTATAGAATTTTTAGATGGCTTACAAAATGTTTATTTTTTAGGGAAGCTTAAAAATGTTGTGAGCTACAGTGTTGTAGATCTCATCAAACCTTACGAAAAGTCCTGATTTTCGGAGACATGCTACATGGTGAGTGGATAAATATTTTGATTTATCCAATCGCTGGCCTAGTATATCTCTTAAAATATATAACTTTTACATATAATCTTTGATGGACAAAAAATTATATAGTACTCCTTCCGTTTTTTACATGTCACGTTAAGTTTGTCCTAAGTCAAACATTGTTATCTTTGACAATCTATTTCGAAAAATATTTGTAGTTTTACAACCTATGAATTAAATATTATGAAAGTATTTTTATAGGATCTAAAAACATAAATCTTATGTCATGAATTTATATTTTTTTAAATCGATGGTCAAAGATACAAATGTTTAACTTAGGACAAACCAAATATGACATGTAAATAAGAGTGGTTGTATTGTTTAATGAGATTTATAGAGTTGTAGGTCATGTTTTTTTTAGAATTATACAGTACAACGAAGACGCCCATAACACGCACGCACACTCACCCCTATGAACACATGTATGCAAATCCTACCCCTATAAGCATCTCTAAATGACTGAGCCGGCAGATCTCGGGATTCACGAAGTCACCACAGACGTCTCGCTGTCGACGGGGACATTGTCTACCATGGAAAGCATAACGCCGTTAAATCCTGAAATAAATCCAGAAAAATGTGAGCACCCGTGTGAAGTCAAGGACTTTAACCTGGATGGACAGGCTCCACAACAAGGAGCCATCGTGATAGACAATAATGTACACAATATTGAAATCCGTATTTTTGGATTTGCACATTATGTTGATTATATAGGAAATTTGTCTGTCCACTCAAAGAAAAAGAAGCTTGCTCCTACCTCTCATCTCTCATGATGCAACAGCCACCATACGCCTATGTGGTACCAATGTAGTTATCGTGCTGCGCGTCGTTGTATCTACACAACATGGCTTTGTCCATGGCTATGCGACTCACCGGTTCCATCCTTTCTTGTTACTCTCTAGCGTCAAGGTTAGAAGTCCAGACTGCCTCCTTCACCCCCTTCTTTTCCTCGTCCATGGCTATGCGACTCACCCACTTCCTGACAACACATCCTTCTTTATTTTCTTCCTCGTATCCGGCACACACTTCTTTCTCTTCTTCCTCACATCCTTTACCGCCATCTTTATTCATCACGATCGACGCCCCCTTCTCCTCTTCCTTGCTACCAACACTTCCTTATTTCTTATCTTTACCGCGACCGACGTCCCAATCCCTTCTTCATCACACCTGGAACTCCCCCTCTCTTCTTTCTCACCACACGATGAGTGGTGGAGGCATTCGTGCAGAAGGCATAGCACAGGTAACAAAATTTCAATTCCATACTTGTGTACATCCAAACAGGAATCGAATTGGGTTGCTTTCTAGAATTTTTAAAACCGTCATCAAACGACTGAATTTGAATTATGGACCATTTTAATATTATGGCAGATTTGATATTGAACAAAATTCCATTACATACCCCAATGTCAACATCAAACAGAGTCTAAGAAAGTCATGAACAGTAGACCTATTTGTCCTAGTCACTTATGGATAAAGCTCTCTGGGAGAATTTAAATGTTACAAGAGTTTTATCACTAGGCGAGAATGTAAGGGCCTGTTTAGATGCCGAAATTTTTGGCAAAATGACACTGTAGCAGTTTCGTTGTTATTTGGCAATTAGTGTCCAATCATAGTCTAATTAGGCTTAAAAGATTCGTCTCGTGGATTTCGTCTAAACTGTGTAATTAGTTTTATTTTTTATTTATATTTAATACTTCATACATGCGTCCAAAGATTCGATGTGACGAAGAATCTCGTAAAATTTAGCATTTTGGGAGGGAACTAGACCTAAACCTCATAGGACCTAAAGTTGCTCGGAAGTGAAGCAAACACGCATTAAAACCAGCCAATAGCCATGCCCGTTCACATCCGTATGACCCTAACTAGGTGGGACCGCACGTGTCTTGCCATGCCCATGGGCTCATCTGTGATATGCTGGGGTCCTGTCGTCCTGACCTCTCGGGGCAGCAATCAGCACGATCTTGTGGCTTGGCGCCACGTTTGTTCTGCAGATTGTTTTTGCTGGAGCACGGACGTTCAATCAAAGTTCTACATCGAAGCCACGTTTGTTCTGCAGATTGTTTTTGCTGGAGCACGGACGTTCAATCAAAGTTCTACATCGACAAGAGAATGGACGACGCTACTGCTCAAGAGAACAACTGTATTATAGAAAATGAATAAAATCAATGAGAAGATTACGGAAATACTAACTGCACCTTATACCCAATTCATGTAATCCTTCCAGCTCGACAAAAAAAAAAAAAAAAAAAAAGGTCAACACTCAACACATCTACTCGCTCAATGGCCACAACATAATTGCTTGCTGGCACAATTTGTTTATGTAATAAACTAATAATTCCCAGGACCCCGACATTATTTCCCCTGAGCGTCCAACACGATGGAGGCCTACAAATTAGGAACTCCGAGGTGTCACGTGTCAGTCATGTCATCAAAGTGCCATTACCGCGCCATCCCCATTTGCACAGCCATGAGAAGCTCCATCGCCGCCGCCGTGCTCCTCCTCATCTCGTATCTTTCTTCACCTCCATATTCAGCTTCGGCAACTCCTACACCGACACCGGCAACTTCGTCAGGCTGGCCGCGCCGATCATCCCCGTCATTCCTTTCAACAACCTCCCCTATGGCGAGACCTTCTTCCACTGGCCCACCAGCTGGGCGAGCAACGGACACCTCGTTCTCGACTTCATCGATATGTCGTTTCCATACCACGCACCCTCGCCTCTAGTGTTGCATTGCATTGCATGCCGCCTGTACGTCTGAGCAAATGTTCTTCCTCTGACATGGAGCACAAGCGTTGCAGCCAAAGCTTTTGGCCTGCCGTTAGTGCCGCCATCACTAGACAAGTCGCAGAGCTTCATCAAGGGCGCGAGCTTCGCCGTCATGGGGACGACGGCGCTGGACCTGTCCTACTTTCAAGAGCACAACATCACCTCCGTTCCCCCGTTCAACAGCTCCTTGAGCGTGCAGATCGGGTGGTTCCAGCAGCTCAAGCCCTCACTTTGCAGCACCCCTAAACAATGCGACAAATACCTGGGAAAATCTCTCTTCGTCATGGGTGAGATCGGAGGCAACGACTACATCTACCTCCTTGCCGCCAACAAGACCGTGAATGAAACGAGAGCGTACATGCCTACGGTGGCCAAGGCCATCGCCGGCGGCGTGGAGGTGTTAGAAAGTTTTAGGATCAACTAGGAGTAGATCTAGCAGGTTGACTTCACTAATTTAGCATAAACATTATATAGTTCATCTATGTGAAACCTAGAGAGAGACAGAGGCCCATACCTTTGGCTTAGCAGAGGAGGTAGAGGAGGAAGAAGTCGCCATGGCAGTGGTGACGCAATGTGGGGCGGTGGAATCCAGAGGACGGCGGTGCGGCCGGCGGTGCTTCCCGTCACTGCAGCGCGCCTGCGATCGGATGGGCCTTCTAGGGTTTGTCAGTGGGTTAGTGGCGTCAGCCAACCTCGTTCCCCCACCTTTCTCTTTTATAGCGCTGTGTGATAGGAGCCCGTCGACCAGGAGTCGGTTGAGCGCCCCCGATCAGGACGCGGTCAAGGGGTCCGACTCGATCGTTGGATCAAGTCGGATGAGATCAATCCTAACATTCTTCCCCTTGATCTCATCTTATACTTTAAGCTTAGTCTTAAACTTAGAATACTTAACTTGGCACCCATTTCATTACAGATTAGTGTATAGAGCATGCCTCGTCATAATAGTCAGCACTATCAGATTAACAGGCTACATTACATCTTTCTATTTTGAAACATATGTTTTACTTATTCTAGGCCATTAGTATCCAGAAATCATAGGCTTTCCCATAAACCCATGCCGACTGTGTGGTCTCTGAACGCCCTGGATGGTAAGCCTTTGGTAAGTGGATCCGCAAGTACTTGCTCGGTACTTATATGCTCAATGCTTTCAAAATAATTTTGGATTTTCTCCTTTACAACATATAACTTAATGTCAATGTGTTTGGCAGCACACTTGACCTATTGTCATAGGAGTAAACTACTTTAAATAGTTATTGTTGTTGTCTACCATTGTTAATTTCGGGTACAAATTCCCTTAACCACTTTTGCCTGTCCCTGAAGCCTCATAACAAGCTATACTATAGGTATGCATCATTGATGATACCACAACTGTTTCTTTGGAGCTTTTTCACAATAAAACTCCAACTGTGAATGTTAGCAACTACTGTGGATTTCACTACACATCTCGTCAAAGTTTAACATTTGTACCCATAACTATTTGAGAGTACTTATTCTGTCTTACTCAGCATGAGGCCTATAATACTTCGCAAAGATGTAAAACATTCTTAACTCCATTTCAGTGATCTATATCTAGACTGGACTTCTGCCAAAACATCCCGGATATGTGAGCTACGTCAGGGTAAGTTCTTATATGTACACTCATTAAGCTTTCAACAGCTGAAGCATATGGAACCATGTTCATTTGATCGATCTCATATTGGTTCCTGGAACACTGAAGGTTCCCAAATCTATTACCCTTGACTATAGGAGCAGGCGTAGGTTTACTCGTATGCATACTTTATTTCTTTAGAATTTTTTCTAAATATGCCTTTGCGATAGTCCTAATATCCCTTTTCTTCTATCTCGGTCAATTTCAATTCCTAGAACCAATGACGCTTCACCAAGATCATTCATATTGAAACTTGAGGATAAAAACTTCTTGTTCTCCAATAGCATATTAACATCACTACTAGTAAGTAGGATGTCATCTATACACAGGACGTGGAAAATAAATTTTCCATTCTTGAACTTTGCATAAACGCTATTGTCCTTCTGGTTCTCTTTAAACCCAAACTTTCTTATTGTTTTATCAACTTTAAATACTACTGTCTAGAGGCTTGTTTTAACCTATAAATTGATTTATGCAGGCGGTATCCCATACGTTCTTTTTCTTCCATGATAAAACCTTTAAGTTGTGCCATATAAACGTTTCCATACAAATCCCCGTTGAGGAATGCCGTCTTTACATCCATCTGATGTAACTCTAAATCGTAATATGTCACTAACGCCATTATGATTCTAAAAGAATCCTTACATAAGACTGGAGAAAAAACTCTCATTGTAATTCATTCCTTCTTTTTGCGTAAAGCCTTTTGCTACAAGTCGTGCTTTATATATTTTCACATTCCCTTTAGAGTCACATTTTATCTTGTAAACCCATTTACAGCCTACTGTTTTGACTCTATTAGGAATTTCTTCTAAGTCCCAAACATCGTTGGTATTCATCGAATTCATTTCAGCTTTCATAGCTTCTTGCCATTTAGACAAGTGAGCACTTCTCATGGCTTCTTCAAATGAGGTGAGATCACCCTCCATTTGAATTTCTTCACTAACATAGACTTCATAGTCATCAAAAAAGCTGGTTTTCTAATTCTTTGAGACCTTCTAGGGCATCAGCTACTGGAACTTCTTTCATATGGGGCAGTTGTTGCTCTTCATTGTCAAGAGATAATTGATTCTACAGGCTCCTGTATTACAAGATCCTTGTTTATATTATTTATCTTCTTTGAAGAGCTAACAACAGGTGTTGTTTAAGTTATACATCATCAATAGATATTGACAAATTTGTTGTTCATGGATCACTGGAGTGGACACGTAGTCCCACTTCTCTTTAAGTCTTAGGTCTCTACATACCATGCTCCCTCATATTATTCCATCTTCTGTAAAGATAGTGTATCTTCAAATTTTTTATTTGTGTTTAATCTGTTAAAACCTCATATGGCACTTTAAGCACTGCCTTAATATCTTTGAGGCTCTTCTAGTATGAATTCTGGCTAACTACGCTATCTTCCTATCTGAACTGTAAAAGATCCAGAAATTTAGTTATTTCTCTGCTTAGGAGTATCATTATTATGACCGTTGTACTCCTCCGATGGTCATATTCATCTTAATTGATCTTTATCTCACTCTTAATTAAGAGTATTTTTCTTAATTGATCTTTATCTTATCTTTCTTAATTAATCTTTATCTCACTCTTAATTGATCTCACAACTCTATCCCTCGAAATGTGGCATAAACTTTTCTGCCATAATTTCAAAAACTATTCAGAACTCCTATGAACGAGGAGACACTTATGACTTACTTCGTTCATATGATTGTGTCATGCAAACAAAGTTATTTCTTAATTTATATAGTAGTACAATTTTCTCATTCCACTTCAAGAACTCAACAAGGTCTTTTATTAGCATTACTTCTGCAAGTCACGCTCATATGTTTATCTTATCTTTTGGTTCGTATGCAACTTCCTTTTGTCCTTAAACTCATTTCATGTCAAAATGATACTACAAGGAAGGATTTGAATTGTTCATTTTTTGAATTGATGTGCTTAGCTCAGTTGATAGATTCAACATGTCAAGCCTTCATCTTTCCCTTTCCTTTCAATTCGCGTCTCATGACTCCATCTTAGCGGCCATATTATACATTCAAAAATCCACCTTCTTGAGATTTAGCAATGGTGTGATTTTGGGATAGCTCCCCTTATGGTCCTCAACCCATTGAGTGCTTAAGGACCATGACACAATAGAAATGCACGGTTAATACTAGGATAGCATTAGAGCTACCTAAACTTCTCTCGCTATGCGGGATACACAAAAATACATGAGCAATCACAAAATTTCTCCTGTCATACAGGATTGACTAGCATAAGTACTATGCTAAACTTCTCCCTATGCGGGATAATTCTCTAAATGAGACGTAAATGCCGGAATTAGCTCTTAGGACACAGGAAGTGTTTGAACATTCACGACATTAAATTCAGAAATAAATCTGAATACTCTGTAACACACATGTTTAATCTTGCAACTCTTATCATAATGATGGAAAAATATACTATTTACAATAACGAAAACTTAGTCATGACGACAAAAACATTCACTTATATTTTATTTTTCAATTAAATCTTCCCGCGGGTTCCAATTTAAACAGAAAATTAATAAACTAAGCAACATGGAAAACTTAAGTGAGAGAATTGCTAAACTCATTTTGACCCAAAACAGCCCTAAACTAGCTCAACTCATTTTGGGCTAGCGGAATTCCCTTTTCACATTTGTTGTACCAGCCAAAAAGCAGAACAACGCAACAACTTTTCCTTCACATAGCCCAACAGACCAGCCTGTTGGCTTACAGCTGATTGATCTCGTCGATTAAAATTAAAACATACAAGGTGCTTATGCATTAATTCTACATCACCGTTGGGCAGAAAATAAAATTAATGCATAAAACTCATAAGTAAAAAAATATAATATTGCTATCATCAACTTTACTATCATCAACTTTGGTCAGAAAAATAGCAATATCATAAATACAATATTTTTCTACATTAATTTCACATCACGGTTGAGTAGAAATGGAATTAATCGATGGAAAAAAACTCATGAATAAACTTATAATATTGTTCTTAACTTGAAAAACATATAACTATTCTTCAAAATTAATTTCTCCTATTGGTTCAAATTTAATTAGAAGATAATCAACATCATTGTAGCGGAAACATGAGAATAAAATATATTCTACTAGTTTAGGAGCATTTCTTGGTCCTTATCTACTCTCTGAAAAATTGGTCACGTTGGTGCAAAATTTATCAGAGATTTAAAGTTTAAACTTAAACCAAATAAAATTATAATATTGTTATCATGAGCGTTGGTCAGAAAATAATAATATCATAATTAAACTTGAACAAATATGACTGCTCCTCGAATTAAATTTTTCCATTAGTTCCAATTTAATTAGAGGATTAATATAATCATAGCAGCGGAAACATGAAAAACTATTTTTTTTCATAAGCATTATGTACCGATCTACTCTCTAAACAATATACACGTTGGTGCAAAATGAATAGAGATTTAAACATCCAAATTTGACAAAAAAACATCAAATAAATGCTTCTGAAAAATATAAAAGTAAAGCTCTTCTTCTACTGTTCATAGGACCCATTCAGGAATTCGGCCCGTGGCTCTGCGCGCCCCGCGTCCTAGGCCGCAATAATGATCTAGCACTTATCTCTCCGTGTCCCACTGAACCAGTGGACCCGGTGAGGGAAGCAAATGAGACTGATGCAGCTTTCGCTACTCGACAGCGTGACCATGCAGAAGTGAGAATGAAGTACGACCTTGATCGTACGAAGTGGGACAGTTCAAACTGCAAGTGTTTGATGGTGATAAAGGGCTCCATTGAGATCCAATAAAGGGTTCAATCCTAGAATATACCACCGTCATTGAGTATCTCAAAAATGTGGAGAGTCAGTTCACTGGCTCTTCAAAGGCTTATGCAAGCTCTCTAATTAAAAAGTTAGTCAATGAGAAATATTCTGGTGGAGGGATTAGAGAGCACATATTGAAGATGAGCAACACTGCATCCAAGCTCAAACCAATGGACATGGGGCTCAAGGATAAGTTCCTAATTCATTTGGTTTTTGCATCTTTGCTCAAAGAACATGAGACTTTTGTTGTTAATTACAACTTACAGCCAGATAACTGACAAACCCTAGAAGACCCCGTCCGATCGTGGCCGCGCTGCAGTGACGGGAAGCACCGTCGGCTGCGCCACCGTCCTCTGGATTTTACCGCCCCACATTGCGTCGCCACTGCCATGGCGACTTCCTCCTCTGCCAAGCCAAAGGTAAACTGACAAACCCTAGAAGACCTCATCCGATCGTGGCCGCGCTGCAGTGACGGGAAGCACCGTCAGCTGCGCCACCGTCCTCTGGATTTTACCGCCCCACATTGCGTCGCCACTGCCATGGCGACTTCCTCCTCTACCTCCTCTGCCAAGCCAAAGGTATAGGCCTCTCTCTCTCTAGGTTTCACATCGATGAACTATATGATGTTTATATCAAATTAGTGAAGTCAAACCGCTAGATGTACTCCTAATTGATCATAAAACTTTCTAACAGCAGGTACCGGCCGACCACAATGGATGCTTGCTGACTCATCCCGGCCGTTCCTTGTTGGTTGACCAATGCAAATGCGCGCGTGCATGCAGAGGCTGGTCGAGCTCGGCGCCAAGCGCATCGTCGTGCCGGGCAACCTGCCGATCGGCTGCACTCCGATCATCCTGACGCTGTACGAGAGCCACAGCAAGTCAGACTACGACGAGTACGGGTGCCTCGACAAGTTCAACGACCTGGCGCGCTACTACAACCGCCTCCTCCGGCAAGAGGTTCAGGCGCTGCAGAAGAAGTACAATCTGACGAAGATCGCCTTCGCCGACTACTTCCGGCCCGTCGTCCAGTTCCTTCAGAAACCGGCCGAACTCGGTGAGATCAATATATATAATCACAATGCTTCCATGCACTGGATCGATCGATCGGTGAAGCATATGATTCACGTCATTCAACTGTTGAGACCAAACTGAAACAAACTATGCATGGGCATGGTGCCATGGTGCAGGGTTCAACGGCGGCACGGCGCTGGTGGCGTGCCGTGGGGCGGGCGGCAAGTACAACTACAACGCCACGGCGGCGTGCGGTCACCCCGGCGCCACGGCCTGCGCGGACCCATCCAAGGCGCTCAACTGGGACGGCATCCACCTCACCGAGAAGGCGTACGGCGCCATCGCCGCCACATGGCTGTGCGGCCCGGATGCGGAACCGACCATACTGGACCTCGCGCATTGACATACATCTTTTGTCTCGGATGAACCTCAACGAAGAACGTTGATCGTGTCTGGCATCCCTGTGTGCACACCTTCGGCTGTGACGGCCTAATCTGGTGTGCGTCGGCGGGTGGCGGCTCGGCGGCGTGTGGAACGGGTTGGGATTTTATTTTTCTAGGCATAATTAGCACCCGGATGTTCGTACAGATGCCCATGTCCGAACGTGCCTACGGCTCCATTTCACGTGCGTTCGCGCGCACGTAGGAATATTCATGCCTCTTCGTCCGAACGCCCGCGCCGGTATGTTTCCTGCGCCCGCATGCACGAGGGGCCGCGCGTCCCTGCTTCCATCCCCCTCCGCATCTCGCTCCTGGGACCCTCGCGCCCCTGCCTCCACCCTCCTCCGCTTCTCACACGCAAGCACGACACCCTAGCAGCAGCAACAGACGCATCTCATTGCAACAGGTGTAACATCAAATCTATTTTTGCAACATCTAGAGAAAACACTTGCAACATACGTCTAAAACACTCGTCTAAAACACTTGCATAAACACATGATAGCCATAGTAAAACATATGCAACATCCAAATGAAGCACTTGCAATATACGTATGAAACAACTAAAACACTTGAAACATACTCTTTGCAACATGCATGTATATGCAACACCCAGATCCACTTTTGCAACATATAGATAAAATATTTGAAACATATGTCTGAAACACTGAAAACATACGCTTGCAACATGCGTATACTGTCATTGCAACACATGCAACATCTCAGATATACTTTTGCAACACCCATATCAAACACTCAAAACATAAGTCTGGAACGCCTGAAACACTTGAAACATGGTGTCGCCGCCGGCCACGGACTACTTGGTGGGGAACTGCGGTGGCCAGCAAGCTCGGGTCAGGGGTCATCGGCCCAGTGTACACCTCCGCTATAGGGCGTCGGCCCATCGCTCCTCCTGCGATTCTACCACGTCTGCTCGCTGCACAGGCTCGCGCCCCGTCGACGTGGCTAGCTTCTCTAGCGCCGCCGCTGCTCGCCGCAGTTGTCCAACGCATCCGCTCGCGTGAGATATATATAGTAGCGCGTGTGGCAACAGCGGGTGCGCGGCGCGGGGAGGCATGACGCGACGGAGACGAGCAATAGCAGATGGGGGATAGAGGCGTGGCGGTAGGAGGCGGCGAGCGTATCTTGTGGTGACGCCATGACACCGATGCGAGTGTGAGTAGGAAAATTTCCAGAGATAGAAGAGACGCAGAGGTATTGTTGGGCCTGTCCGCTGCGCAGGCCCAGGAAGGCACGTGTCCGGACGGGACGGACGACCGTGTGAAAGCATTTACGTTTTTTCCCTTCTCTTTGATCTCTGTGTTTGTTTCTTGCCACTCAATTCCCACTTTGTAAAAAAAAAGAACTCTGTTGGCCTTTTCAAGATTGGGATTGAGTGATATTTTATGGGCGCGTTCGGCTGGCTGGTGGCCGGCTGGCCGGCCCACTCACGAAATCACTGTTCATGTGAACAGTGTTTCCAGACAGAACAGTATTTTTTTCTCACAATAATCAGCCAGAACAGTATTTTAGCTTATTTTTCAGTTCTGCCGAACAGGCCCTATGTTTTGAGAATCATTTCTTTTTTATAAAAAAAAATATTTTTAAGACGAAAGCATGAGCTAACTTTTTTTTTAGAATCGAAAGCTTGAGCTAACTAGCCCTAGCCCGTAGCTGCAGTAGAACTAATATGTATGTGGGCCAGATTACATGGGGACCATTCGTTCTGTTCAACATTTCCGTGCGGGGTGGCCCATAAATCAGTATCAAGCCCATTCCTTGGGGAGAATCACTAGTGGACACGGCCCAAATTACACAAACGAGAAACGCGAAGTCCAGATCAAAATATTTGGTTGGAGGGTACTGCATGGTCTCATACCTTGTCGGGGGATCCTTGCAAATCGTCACATTGATAACTCAAGCAGCTGTCCATCTTGCCACGAGGGATGTGAAGATATAAAACATGTTCTATTTACCTGCAGCCGAGCAAAGGAGATTTGGCGCATACTAGTTGCAAATGAAATTCAAAACTTGCTGGAAGTTGACCGATCTGGTTCAGTTGGGGGTGGCTGAGATGATTAATGTGTTAAGACCACTAAGATCTTTGAATCAAGTAGGTCTTGCAGAACTAATCCTAACTGGCGGGTGGTACATCTGGTGGGAACGCAGGAAGTATGTCCATGGAGAAACTGTTCAAAATCCGACAAGAGCTGCTATGTCGATTGCAACATTGACAACAAACTATCAAAGAGCAATGAAGAAGAAGACTAGGAAACCAGAAGGATGGAAGAAACCCTCAGAAGGTAAGCTACTGTTAAATGTGGATGCTAGTTATAAGTCTGATCGGGGAACTGGCAGTACAGGAGCAATTATTAGGGACTCCAGCGGTTCCTTCATAGCAGCTGGCTCTCATGGAGCATGTGGTGAATGCATCGATGGCGGAGGTGATTGCTCTCAGGGAGGGCTTGCTGCTGGCACAGCATATTGGTTGCAGTCAGCTCATGATCCAATCGGACTGCTTGGAGGTAGTAGAAACAATGAGGCAAGATGGATTTTCAGCTACGGCAAGTGCTCCAGTTTATGACGAATGTAATCAACTTTGGCAAGAGTTTGCTTCTATAGCTATAGAACATTGTAATTGGGAAGCCAATAAAGTGGCTCATGAATTAGCTAGGGTAGCTATTACATTGAAGTCATCTTATATTTGGGTTGATGAACCCCCTAGCTTTATTTTAGAAGCCTTGGTGAATGATGTAACTATTTTTGAAGATCAATAAAGTGCGCCAAATGGCTTCCCTAAAAAAAATACTTCTCAACATTTAAAACTATCTAATCTACATTTTAAGTGGTTTCGAAAACAATTTTCACTGATATGGCGCTATGAGCCATTCTATATGGCGTCATGTCAACCATGAGAGAGAGAAAATCAAACTACATTGATAATTTCGAGAGGTGGATTAGACTTTATCAAAAATTAAATATCATTGAAATATTTTCTAGAACAGAATATACAATTAAAACTTCTAAAATCTAAACCAATCTAAGAAAAAATATAGAAAATTGGTTTTAATTTTTAAAATCCCAATTTTAATTTTTTAAATCATGCTTTATCATAGAGTATGATTTTAGAAAACACATGAAGTCCGATCGTCCCGAACCTATCAAAGTTGTGTTCCTACTTATCATATGTACTACTGTCTACTTCCTCTGTGCCGAATTATAAGACGTTTTTGCTTTTATAGATACATAGCTTTTGTTATGTGCTTAGATATACATTATGTCTAGTAAAAGAAATGTATCTAGAAAAGCCGCAACGTCTTATAATTTGAACGGAGAGAGTACCTACTAGTGTGCATGCAGACTTATGATGGCATGGCGAAAGTAAGGCACCTCCCATGTGACACTGGCCTTGGCGAGGTCGAGAATTTGCATGGCATGACGGCCTGTGTAGGAGTGTGTGGTACTTGACAAACCACAACTAAGCCACGTTGGTCATGATGAGGCGCATGTTGCCATGGTGTCAAGACCATGACGTCGATGAAGGTCTCGAAAATGTTTTCCATGTCTCACCAACCGAGAACATGACCACCGCATTAGCGAGGTTGAGCATCAATGTAATCCGATTTTATCTCTGTCATAGCTAACATGATGCCACGTAGGATGGTTGACATATATGGTGCTACGTTGGCCAAAACCAATTTCAAAACCACTCAAGGAGGTAATCAGATGGGTTCAATAGCTGAGGGAGTATCTAAAAATCACAATATTTACTAAAAATCACATGAACAAAATAAAGCATGCGAAAATCCTTAACTTGAAAGTTAATCAGACAGATGCAAGGCTAGGCACTCCTAAAGCTTAGACTACGCACGAGAGAAGTTTCTTTGATTTTGCAATTGATGACGTGCAAGTGGAGAAATCATACCTTCATTCATGTGCTTCTCTACATGCCTATGTGACACGGGTTATCTGGGCCGTTGGTACACTTTGCACTTCAAGAATGGTGATGCAAACCGTGAACGGGGGTGGCGGAAAGACGAAAGAGGCCGACCGCGCGCGTGCTTGGCCCGGCACGCTCTAGGGGCGCGGCCGCTTCTTTGCCGTCACGCTGGTTTTAATTGGAGTAGAAGCTAGAAAGGTACTAGTGCTTGCCGTTCCCTAGGGTCTGCAGGCTGCAGCGCACGAGGGAGGCTAGGCCGGGTTTCTCGCCGTCCAGTCAGGAGTCTACATATGTCGACCAGAGAGTGAACATACAGTTCTCATGAACAATTTGCAAAACTAAATAATAAAATATTTTCATATATACTCCCTCCATACTAAAAAAAAATAAGGTCGTTTTGGATAAGGCTTGATCAAACATTCGAAATATAAATCATGAATAACTTTTAAGTTATTGAGTTTGGAAATATGAAAACCATATGTATAGATTTGTCTTGAAAAATACTTTCACGAAAAATTACATATATCACTTTTTAATAAATATCTTTATAAAAATGAGTAGTCAAAGTTATACTTTGGAGATTATGTCGCTATTTAAAATGACTTCTTTTTTTTTTAGACAGAGGGAGGGAGTACATAATTGCTATAAGTTAACCGAGTGACTGTCGCTTTTCACGGATCCATATCGCGTCCGTCGCTTCCTTTATCCGGCCGGGGCTCAGGGGCATGCTCGGGGTTCCCTCCTTCACGTACGTCGTCGCAGTCGCTCGAGGTGCGCGCTTCGTGGCCGCCTGCGCCGGCGAGCTCGCTTCCTCGACGCAGCCGTCTCGTCCCGACTCGATGACGCCGGCAGCCGGCAGCAGCCTCGTTCCGCACGCCGCCGCCCCCAGGCCAGGCAACCGTAGCGGCTTCGCCAGCTTCAGGCCTGTGCGGCTCACGGAAGGGAAGAGAAGGGAAGGGACAAGGTTGGGGACTGTTGATCCCACCGCAATTTGTGATTAATTTGAAATTTTTCTGCAATTTGTGCACAATTTGACATATATATCTATGTATCTGCAATTCATAAAAATAATTTAATTTTTTTTAAAAAAATTGGCATATATTTATCTGAGACATTCAATCTCCCCAAATTACATCATACTATAATTAGTGTAAATCTAGTAATAAGGCAGCGTAAATTTAGCTAAAAGACAATGTAAATGTATGGAAAAATAAAATCGGGTGCCACGAACTTCTAAATCACTCAATTGTTGGATAGACAGTCAAAACATCTCCTCCAGCTCGACAGGAGACGTAGGAGAGAATGGCAACATATCTACTCTCTCTCAATGGCCACAACAGCATTATTGCCCCGATTTGTTTAGCATGAAGTCAACGAGCGGTGCAATATTCAATGAAGCTGTAAATCCCAACACCCCGATTGACTAAATTTATTCTAAACATCCAAACATGATAGCAGCCAGGTCTTCAGATCGGCAGCGCCGAGTTTTCAGCTGTCATTTGGTAATCTTTCCATTACCCAAATCCACAGCCATGAGGAGTTGCATCGCCGCCGCCGCCGCCGTGCTGCTCCTCCTCGTCTCGTGCCAGCTCCACGGCGCGGACGCCGCCGGCTACCGGCCCAAGCGCTTCTTCACCTCCATATTCAGCTTCGGCAACTCCTACGCCGACACCGGGAACTTCGTCAGGCTGGCCGCGCCGATCATCCCCGTCATTCCTTTCAACAACCTCCCCTACGGAGAGACCTTCTTCTGCCGCCCCACCGGCCGGGCCAGCAACGGCCGCATCATCCTTGACTTCATCGGTACGCCCGCCGCCGCTCCGATGAAGACATGCACCTTCCCTATTTGTATCTGACGACATGGATCTTCAATTCGCTGGCAAGCATGCAGCTGAGGCTTTTGGTCTCCCGTTCGTGCCGCCATCCCTGGACACGACGCAGAGCTTCATCAAGGGCGCCAACTTCGCCGTCGTGGGGGCGACGGCGCTGGACCTTTCCTACTTCCTGGAGCACAACATCACCTCTGTTCCCCCGTTCAACAGCTCCTTCAGCGTGCAGATCGGGTGGTTCGAGCGGCTCAAGCCCTCGCTCTGCAGCACCCCTAAACGATGCGACGAGTACCTGGGCAGATCTCTGTTCGTCATGGGTGAGTTCGGAGGCAACGACTACGTCTTCCTCCTCGCCGCCAACAAGACCGTGGAGGAAACGAGAGCGTACGTCCCGGCGGTGGTCAAGGCCATCGCCGACGGTGTGGAGGTAGGTACTCGCCTCGAGCTTTCTGTGACTGAATTCATTTCTGACAACTAACTCGATGATCCTGTGCCTTGGTTGACCACGCAATGCAAACGCGCGCATGCGTACAGAGGCTGATCAAGCTCGGCGCCAAGCGCATCGTCGTGCCGGGGAACCTGCCGACGGGCTGCATTCCGATCATCCTGACGCTGTACGCGAGCCCCAACAAGTCAGACTACGACAAGTACGGGTGCCTCGACAAGTTCAATGGCCTGGCGCGCTACCACAACCGCCTCCTCCGGCGAGGGGTTCAGGCGCTGCAGAAGAAGTACAAGCTGACGACGAAGATCGCCTTCGCCGACTACTTCCGGCCCGTCGTCAAGTTCCTTCAGAAACCGGCAAAATTCGGTGAGCGCGATGCTTGTATACAGTATACACGCACTGCAGGATGTTGTTTCGAGTAATGTTACGCATGGGCGCGGCGGTGCAGGGTTCAACGGCGGGACGGCGCTGGTGGTGTGCTGCGGGGCGGGCGGCAGGTACAACTACAACGCCACGGCGGCGTGCGGTGTCCCCGGCGCGACGGCCTGCGCGGACCCGTCCTCGGCACTCAACTGGGACGGCATCCACCTCACCGACAAGGCGTACGCCGACATCGCCGCCGCATGGCTGCGCGGCCCTTACGCGAAACCGACCATACTGGACCTCGCGCATTGACATATTTCTGTTTTGTCTGGGATTAACCTCCATGACGAAGGAGGGCCGCGCAGCCACCAGCAGTGTGCAGCACGGCTCTTACTTCGGTTGTAGATCATTTATATAATATCGAAGCTTAAAACTGTTTGATATGACAGTCCAGTCTATGACTGTAAGACCTCCTAGAGCGCTTGTCAGAAGCGTGTTGTTCGTATGGTTGAACTTTTTTCTTAAATAAAATGACACATAATTTTTTTTGCGTATTCGAGAAAAAAAAAAAGATTAACCTTGTAAAGAAGTTTGATCTTGTCTGCCATCACTGTGTGCACACCTTCGGCCCTGACCTGGTGCATCTCGGCGTCGAATTGAGTAGGTTGGGATTTTTTTTTTTCGTTCTCTTTGACCTCTATGTTTCTTTGTGGTGGCCTTTTCAAGATTGGGACTGAATTGATGTTTTAGAAGTCGCTTGGCAAGTTTTTTTTTATAACAACTTGGCGAGGTTGTTAATTAACTGAAAGTGAATGGCCTTCTATATGCGCCATAGCAGAAGTTAATTAACTGAAAGTCAACTAGCCAAATAAATTAAACTAGGCCGTGTTCCAAGAAAATTGTTATGATACGAAACCGGAGGTGTTGGCCATAGCAGCAGTAACTAATCCGTATGAAGGCTAGATTAACATGGCCCCATTCGTTCTGATCAGAAAAAAAAATTTGATTCCTTCATGAAATGTCGTCAATTGTTTAGGTTCTCTCTTCAAAATCTAAAACCCGACAAAATGTCTCTCTCGAATATATATCAAACCCGTTTAAATTACTTCCCTGCTCTGACTAGAATTGGTTTGAAGATGGTTCCATTTTTTTCTAATTACAAATTCCGATAAATACTTGATAAGGTTTTTAACTATAAAAAATATCTCTAAGCTTCAAAATATTATATGAAAATATTTTTATCATAATTCTTTTTAATCATGATAACGGTTTGAATACCATTTCTAACAGGTGCAGATTTAATTTAAATGTTTTTGTATAGTTGAGGAAGATAGTTTGTCTGGTTTCGAAGTTAACCTGGACTATTATCATAATTTATAGGAAGACAAAAATTGATATTTTCCTCCTCTTCAACATTAGCCTACTCAGTACATAAAAAAAACTTTGGCTTACTCAGTCCGTTGCGAATGCGGCCTAATTTACAGACAAGAGGCCGTTTGTGTGTTCCATTGCTGCGGGTTTGGTCTTAGGGGCTAAAATGAGACGGATATTTTCAGGTAATCAGTCCTTCCAAAGGGGTTTATAGATATTAGGTGGATAGTAATTCATATGTGAATCAGGATCCATAGTGTCTGAATCCAAATATTTAAAGTTGAATTTATAATATAGATAAGGGATAGTGTTGACGTCGGAAGTGATCCGAATCAAACACCAACAGGACCTTGGACGCCCGGGCCGCTACAGACCGAAGAATGCACCGAGAATGTCACTCTTTCATGGTGAAGAACGGAGAGGTTTACAAGAAAACCACCAAAGAATAAACAACGTGCTTACGTGACGAAGAACCGGCTAGTTTTCAGGCAAACTAGCAAAGAAACCGTCGAAGCTCTCGCCCGGGAGGGACCCCGTTAGGGCAAGGACGCCGTCGGGTTACCCTAGGTCGGCCGGCAAGCCTAGGGCGCCATCCTTGGTCGTCGGATCCAGGGATGAACAACATGGGGGTCGGAGAAGAGAGCAAAAGGGTTGGAGTAGAGGTAGTAGATTAATTTGTTTGACGATTGGATAGATGGGAACTCAATCGGCCATGATCCTCTCATATATATAGAGGGGGTGGTCTTATCCCAGTAGAAAATCTTTCCAAGCCTTATTTTCCAAGTTTCCCACGAGTTTGGAACAGTTCGGATCGGAATCCAAAAGGCCAGATCCGAACAGGATTTTCTGTTAGGTATGTCGGAAGTCCCAACTTAGATCGGAACTCCCGACAGTCGGAACTCCCGACTTTTGTCGAAACTCTTGACGTAGGGATAACCCCAGGCGCCCGAGTAGATTTCTTCAGGCTTCCCGGAAGTCCCGACACCCGTCGGAACTTCTGACAGTCGGAAGTCCCAACTTTTGTCGGAACTCCCGACGTAGGGATAACCCCAGACGCCCGAGCAGATTTCTTCAGGCTTCCTGGAAGTCCGGACACCCGTCGGAAGTCCCGACTTGGGTCGGAACTCCCGACGACGAGGCATCTTTCCGATGGCATAACTTCTTCATCCGGACTCCGAATTTGATGTTCTATATATGTTTTTTGACCTTCTCGACGAGAGGAACGCAATGGTCAAGTCCATTTCATATCTTGACAACTTCACAAAATGGACATTTTTGGTCGTCAATAGATAGATATCGATATTCGACACATCCGACAATATTCGTATCCGATTCCGAATCATCCAAAATGTTCATATCCAAACTATGAATCCAAGAAATAAATAACAGCCTGTATTGGAACATGTACATATCCAATCAGTTTTCCTCCGTAGCAGCGGAGTATTGCGCTCGCAAGTGCTTGTTTAGCAGTCATGAGGTTCACTCTACACATTGAGGGAACCACATGTGGTTCCACCAACTTAATTGCTTACGTTTTTATCATCGCTTCACGGTAAAAAAAAAGTTAACTCGAAATTGGTTGTATGAGTCCTATAAATCTCTTGTCTAATCCACACTAGAAATTTCTATCGGAGCTTCAAAAAAAAGTTCTATCGGGATTGTGAGTACAATTTTGTCTTTTTTTCTCTAACACGCCTCGTTTTATCACGTGAAAGCTCGATTGGAAAATATTTCCATAATTCTCAGTCTCCTGTAAACTGTTTTAATTAGTTCTTGTGAACACATGCATGCTTATGAAATACATAGATTACTAGACAAGTAATGGGCCCAATTTTCATATCAGGTCTTGGCCCATTTCGCGGAACGCCATGGACGCAATTCCAGAAAAAAGGTTGTTTGCCACTTGGAGAAAGCGTGACCGCAGGACAGCTTCACTAGAAAATGGCAGCCCAGTCAATAATCCTGTCGGTGCAGAAAATGACCAGCACGTAAATATTTGTAGTTTTACCGTACGTTGTGATCGGATATGGCATAACACTCAATGACACAAGGTTTATACTGGTTCAGGCAACGTGCCCTACGTCCAGTTTGAGTCGGTCGGTGACTTTAAGCAGGGGTTCGTTGTTTTCCCAGTCGGAGAAGCGGGTCGGAGTCGGAAGTGATGTTTTGGCCAGGCCTTCCGGTCGGAGGGGCCATCCGGAGGCGGGCTGGAGACCGAAGCGAGCGCTTCGGTCGAAGAGGCGGGCCGGAGTCGGAAGCGGGCGTCGTTCCTCCTCAGACACACCTTCCGATCGGAGATTGGATCACCCTTCTGGCCTGCCGTTTAGGTACTTGGGCCGGCCCAAGAGTTGTACGTTGGCTCGCAACGTTGTCTGCTGGGCCGAGCCTCTGCTGGGAAGCCGGTCCATGAAGGACCCTGGGTTTATGAACCCGACAGGAGCCCCCGAGCCCCCGGGTGATTCGGGCAGAATTGTCTGGGGTTTTTTTCGTGTTGCTAGTGGGGGAGATTTTGTTTCGTCAGCGGGTGCGCGCGAGCGCACCCGCGGGTGTAGCCCCTGAGCCTGGGGGGTTTTGTCAGCGGACGTGTGTGCGTGTATTTTAGTCGAGACAGAGTTGTCCTGGTGTCGGTGCAGCCCGCGCAGCCGAGGCAGTTAGTTTAGGGATCGGGCGAGGCGGAGCTCGCGGATCCTGGCGTCGGTGCAGCCCACGTAGCCGAGGCAGTTAGTTTAGAGATCGGGCGAGGCGGAGCTCGCGGATCCTGGTGTCGGTGTAGCCCGCGCAGCCGAGGCAGTTAGTTTTATGGATCGGGCGAGATTGAGCTCGTGGATCCTAGCGTCGGTGCAGCCTGCGCAGCTGAGGCAGTTAGTTTAGGTGTTTTGAGCCCCTAAGCCCCGTTGGGCTTGGTAGGGGTCTGTTTGAGTTTTGTGCGTTACCCCGCCCTCGGTTTCTCACAACCGAAGGGGCTGAGCTTTGTCGCTTGCCTCGATGGCTCGGGCTCGAGTGACGCGCTCGGTGAGCTCGCTAACGGGTATGATCGAGTGGAATCCGAGTTCGTCGTTTGTGATAGGGTCGGCATAGCCCTCTTGTGACATTTCACTGCTCCTTAACCTGCAACCCGATAGATGCCTGGGTTGTTTCAGAGATCGACCTTGGTGGCCCGCTGGCCTCCCCTCGATAGAGATTCTGTGGGTTTGGTAGAGGTTTAGGATCGAACAAGATGGTCGAGATGACCTTGTCCGCTTCGGGGTAGACTGGGCGAGGGCCGCACGGGGCTCATCTGCATTTTCTCCCCTGGCTCTGTTTGACGCGAGGCGGCCTCGAGCCCTTCGTGGACCGGCCTTCGAACCTCGGCCGGTCGTTGCTCATGTTTGAATAAGGCAACTGCCACTTCATGATGCAACACAGAGCGTTGTGATGCATTTAGCCGTATGTGCGATGCCTTAGTTCCCGAGCCCCCGGGCGATTTAGGTAGAATCATCCGGGGGGCGCGGGCGTATGGAATGAATGCACGTATGGATGTATGAATGATTATATAAAGAAAGAGTGGGGTTTGGTAATGTTACCTTAATAACTCGAGTGACGGGGTTTGAAGAGCTCCAATCGGAAATGTCCAACTGGGATACATGCTCCTCATTCGTGACGGAGTCGGCATGGCCCACATGGGGCGTCCCTTTGCTCCTTACCTATCTCTCGGCGTTCGCCTGAGCCGTTCGATTGACTTTAGGAAGCCCAACGGTCTCTCTTTGGCGGAGATCCCGTAGTTGGGCCTTTCCAAGTCCCACCTAGGAAGGCGGAGTGCCGCCTACGCGTAGTGGTGCCTTGTTTCTTGTGCCCGGCATGCGGTAGTGGTGGGCCATACCCAGGCCATGTCCCGTCTGACCAGGCGTTGTTCCGTCGAGCAAGGTGCGTCTCATCGGTCAGGGCGCGTCCCATCGTATCCC